TATGTATGTGTGTGTGTATGTGTATGCATACATGTATAATTCATCTAATTTGTAATATATATAAAAAAAATATAAAATTTAATACATATAAAATGTAACAATGCATAAAATTCTATTATAAAATATGTCAAGAAACATACATAATGAGATTTTATATATGATACAGTTAGTATTATCTGAGATGACATAAATTTGATACATACATAAGCTATGGTACCAACGAGTACACCAATACCAGCAAGTAATTGAACATTGTAAACTCTCTGTCTTGCGTCATAGTGTTCTTTCCACGATCCACATGGTCCAGGTATATCATTTATGGTTGGCAATCTAAGATCGTCCTGAACTGCTTTTGAACTGGAGGAACGAGTACCTTTACATTGCAAAATTAAATGTTCAGATAAAATATTATCTTTCTTAATTTTTTAATTTATATGCATTTATATTATTTTTTATTTAAGTATATTTTTGCACAGTTCAATTTCAATATAATTTTTTAATTTCGATATTAAGCTTTTTTAATTTATAATGAGATAGATAAATTTAGGCATTGAAAGAAGAGAAATCGAAGATGCCGAATACATAAAGTGCAAGCAACATAAAGACCTAATCATAATCCTAATTCAAATAACAAGTCTCTTATATCAATTTGAAACAGTTCCTGCTCTACATAATGCTAGTGCTAAATATTTGATAAGCGATATTATTTCAAGTCGAAAATAATACCATGGAAAATTAGAAGCCATAAAGTCTAATGTTAAAATAAAGAATACATTTGTTGATAATTTACACAAGATTGTAATTTTATCAGAGCATTTCCTTATAATTAAATTAATTATTTTCTAAGTTCACAAATCTAAAGTAATTGACATAGAAAACGTTATTTAAAGAATTTATCATAGACAAAGCGAAAAATTTTATATTATTTATTATCGTAATGAGTTTACACGGAATAATATTTAGTGGCATTCACACCTAGCAGGCATTATGTAAGATATAAAGTGGACTATATTATGGATTAGAACGAATGGTTCTGAAATAAGAAAAATCTCACCTCTTCTGATGAAGTTACGAGAGATCGGACGCAATACGTGATTAAGCATTTTGACGTAATTAATTTGCTGTCGTAAGTCACAAGAAATCTACGAAGTGACAGATGAAAGGTCGTTGACAAATCAAAATATGTTCTTCTTTTAATTAATTAATGGATCCTGACTCCCTAGTGATTTTGGAGGAAGGTTAAATGTGCCTCCTTTTAGCGCATGCGCATTGAAGTATGTACTAAATGTCGAAATCAGAATTTTAGATCTAGAAGAATACACCAATAATAGCGAGCGCTCACTCAACTGTTGAGTCCGCTGAATGCGCCCTATGATCATACGACTTCTATGTAGACGAGCCTTAATTCCTTATTCCTTCTATTGTGGCTGTACTTTAACTTTAATCTCGGTTTAACTTGGTTTAACTTACTATTCATCTTTTTCTCATTTTTAGGACTGTGCAGAATAAAAGGAACAGGGAATAGAGAACAGAGAATAAGAATTTCAACCTATCAGAAATCATGTACTATTGAATACACAACTGTTTATTCCACTAATAATAGAGAGCGCAATAAACAAATAACGTTATCAACAATGTGATAAGAATGGAGCGTGTGTGGCCCATTATTGCCCAGTCACTTACTTTGAGATGTTACAGGTAAGAAATTGATGTAAAATCTATAATAACTAAATTATCTATAATGACTAAAAATGCATATAAAAACCGAGATAGAAACGAAACGTCAGAGAGTAAACCTGAATAAACAAGAATGAATTAATATTGAATTAGTATTGAAATTTGGATTTATCCGAATGCGTAATTTAAATATGGAAAATTTTTTTACAACTTATACAGTTTAGCTACATCTAAAAAATTAATAAAATTAGGCTTATTTGACGCGTTTTTGCGTGAAACGAAAGAATTTGACAGAAATAAGCGTCGCTCTGCATTCAGAACCGATATTAAGCGTTAAAATTCGCGATTATTTAGGTTAAAAAATCTGTCACATATAGTTATAGGTCTGTTTTTTCTCCACCCCAAGTTTTCTGAAAGTGATGTTTATTAGTGCGATAAATTAATGATGATTATGTTTGTATATTACTGTCAGTTGTCAGTATAGTCACCAATGAATGAGCACCCTATAATTCCTGTCCAATTTCTTCGTATAGTTTCACATTCTAATGTTACTTGTCATAAAACATTATAGATTTTTTCATCTGTTTTTTACCTTCAGTGCCATGTTAAGGTAAAATGGATAAAGTAATCTGTAATTTATAATTTTTTCAAGCTTTAAATACAAAATATGCCAGGGGCAAGTATATTAGAATTTATATTTTCATCATGGAAAAGGAATTTTTATTCTGTGAAACTATTACAAAGAAATTGGGCAGGAATTAAACATCAAAAACACTAGTTTTATCGGTAATACAGGCGGCGCCAGCATATTTTAGCATAAAGAAATTCGTCTTTGAGTTAGAATTTTGAATTAGAAAGTATTCACTAGGCAATAAAGGCAGAAAAGCTGATATTTTTACATTGAAAGACTTAGAAATGTTTCATGCAATTCCTATAAATGAATAAATTCGGATTGAAAAAAAAATTTATTTTAATATTTGTGAATGCATATTTTGAAAACTTGAATCCATTTCAATCCATTCTCATTTATTGGGATATACTTATCTTATTTTTTCGTGAATAAAAATTAAAAATTTAGTTTATGTAAACTTGAATATATCAACGAAAAAAAATTTTGTTTGACCGCGCCCAATTGGAGGGTCTTCAGGCAGCATTCAAGAAAAGATATGCAAGTAGTCAGATTTTTTAATAACGTACAAAAAATTCGGTGGCTAAAATACTGAAAAAGTTTTTTTTTCCCATACAAATTCAGTACAAAACTTCATGTGCTCGGTGGCACGGGTTAAAAATTTTTATTTTTTTTTTTCCGTTGGGAAACTTTTTTTTTATTTATTTTGAACCACTTTTTGCCCGGAAAATGGAAAAATTCGAAAATCGCCAAATTAACGGACACCCTAGTGTACATCTGGATTTCGGAGAATCAAGATTTCACTGTACTTCACGGATTGTCACAGACTTTATCAGAATTCAACGTACTTCGTTGAACTTCATCAGACTTTGAGGAATTCAATGAACTTCTGACAGATTATACACCGAAATTCAAGAGTGGTTACCCTCTCGAAAAATACTTAATTTGTTATTATATTTATAACAAAGTTATTGTCTTTTAGCATACAACCGGCGAAACGTTACATCAACACAATGGTACATCCACTAATTGCAGTATGTCAAATGCGATCGATAGCTGACAAAGTAAAAAATCTGGAGGTTGTGAGGGAATTAGCAGCTGAGGCCAAACGCAGATCGGCCACAGTATGTATGCAACAAATAGTATTTTATATCCTAAATGACAATAACTTCATTATTGTTATACAACAATAATGACTTGAACCAGGAAATTTAATATTTATTTTTAATATTTATATTTAAGAAATCGCTGTTGTAATTAATTAAACAATTGCATAATGCATTATAGCGCTCCACTTACTGCGTTGACTCCTTAAGGTCCCATTTTGTACTTTTTTATTGTGGAGTAACTTTATTCTTTTAATTTATATATTTTGCAGATAGCATTTTTTCCTGAAGCTTGCGATTTTTTGGCGGATAATAAGAAGGACATTGTTGTCATGGCTGAGCCTTTGACTGGACTGACAGTAACATCTTATAAAGAGATTGCTATTAAGAATAATATCTGGTTATCCTTAGGTGGAATTCACGAAGCTGTAAATATTTTAATTTCTATTTTACATTAATTTACTTAAATATACAAAAGATAAAATAATTATTTCTTTAACAATATACTATACTTGTCATTTCAGTCAGATAATGTGGAAAAGATTTACAACACACATATATTGATAAATAATAAAGGAGAACTGGTTGCTGCATATAGAAAGTTACATTTGTTTGATATGGATAATAAGGATACCGGAGTACGCCTGATGGAATCAGATTATGTGCTTAAAGGAATCGAAATTGTGCCACCTGTGTCCACACCAATTGGCAAGCTAGCGCTTAGCATTGTATCCTTAGTTAAAATTAACAATGATATATTTCCATTTAAAAAAATGACAATAACTTTCATATGATCTTAAAAAGTTGATTCTATAAAAGTTTACTAGAAGTACATCTGATTAAAAATAATTTAAATCAGATGAGAAAATAGAAATTTTTTAGAAATATGTGTCAAAGTATCATGCAGAGTGATAGAAGACATTAAACTATATCTTTAATTGAAGCCTTTTTACGATAAAAAAAATAGTCGAAAAATTGATTTTGTTTCAAATATGAATTTTACCATTATTTGGTAAAATGGCCTACTAAGTCATAACTTTTTGTTTAAATATTTTTTTTGTAAGACTGAAAACAAAGAAAATGTTGGAAAACGATCGATTAAAGTGGACATCATGTATATATAAATTATAAATATATAGCAAAACACAACTTAACAATGATATAGTGTTACGACATGCGGTTTCCCGAGTTGTCACTAACGTTACGAAATATGGGAGCACAGATTCTCACGTATCCGTCAGCGTTTACATATCAAACTGGTGCTGCACACTGGGAGGTAATGCTTCGAGCACGAGCTATAGAAAATCAGTGTTATGTCATAGCTGCGGCGCAAACTGGCACGCACAATAAAAAAAGAGTGAGCTGGGGTCATGCCATGGTAAATAATTATGTATATAGTTATTTTCTCTCGATAAGAGACTAAAAATTGCTTATTATAATTAAAATCGGAATTCATTTTTTTTCAGATTGTGGATCCTTGGGGTGCTGTTATAGCTCAATGTGCGGATAAAACGGGTATAGCTATGGCAGAAATTGATCTCGGACTACTGGAAAAAATTAGGAAAAATATGCCGTGTGAACAACATCGCCGTACTGATTTATACTCAAGAATGGAATGTCAAAAGTCCACTTAATATGGTTAAAGGTTAAGCAGTAAACACGTAATTATATTAATTATACTTAAAGCTTCTGTTTTTTCACTCATCAATTACTATTTTAGGGGAGTGGTTCACTTGCACACTTGCAATTGCCAATCACAGTAACTTCTGCGTAAAAAAAAATTTTTTTTTTTCTAACACTGTTATTTGCACATTTGATTCGTGTGCAATTGATATACACTTCTATTTCAGATTGTGACATCTTATTCTAGCATATTGCCATAAAATTTTAAATAATTCAAAAACTATTAATTTTTTTATATCAATACCTTAATGCTTTTACATGCAGAATAATTAAAGAATTAATTAGAGTCATATTGTGTAAAAGAATTATTATACAATTTATAACACAATTCATAAAAAACATATATAAATGATGAAGTTATAGGAAACACTATATTAATTATATATATTAGTTTTTAATATCTCTATTACTTTTATAGACAGAATAATTAGAGAAATTATATTGTAAAAAAAACATACAATTTCATTTAAAATAGTGGAGATAATCTTGAAATAAAAAAATGAAAAAAATTTTTTGCTCATAATATATGTCTCTTCAAATCAAACTATTTTTCCCTATGTGGTATTTTCTTATATCATCAAAAACAACAGATATTTTGAATGATTAAATTACAGAAAATACCTTGTATAGAAATAAATATAATTCTTGAAATAAAAAAATAATTTTCATTACATTTTTAACAAATTATTCTACTAAATGCAAATATTGCTTTATTGAAAAATATCTCTATTCAAATATAATTTTAAAGAATTTGTATTGTATATGTTTTCTCTTCTGATATCACAATTTGAGACAGTAATGAATAAACAGAAACTTTAAATCATTTTAAGATCTATATACAACATTTAACATAATTTAAATAAAAAAATCTAGAATAAAATAATATATTGTTGTTACCGATTTTATACTTAAGATTGTTATCACAATTTAATGTTAAAATTAAAATATATTGTTATATATTTTATCATTTTATTTATTAAAAAACAAAGACTTATATCTTAGATAGATAATGAAAAAATTGCTATTTAACATATAAATAAATTAGATTTTCTGAAATTTGTATGGTAAATAATAATTTAATTATTAAATATCAATTTTATTTGCATTGATGAACTAACATATTATCAGCTAGGTCCGTTTTTGATTGGATACCCATGAGCTCAATATCTACTCCTTGTAGCACCCAATTATGTTCACAGATTTCCAATGCTTCCCATTCAGACTTGAAGGCTGCTTTCGGATCAGGTGGCATAGACATTGCAGCTCCTGATACTTGATCTTGTACTATTCTTGACGTATCTGCAGCATTATTCTCACCAAGTACAAGTGTATAAATGGACCTTAGTCCAAATACATTTAGAAAATACCATGAGGCAGAAGAAACCCATGCAGCATCCAGCGTAATTAATTCTATACCCCGTTGTAACATTGGCTTGAAACGTAGGGTTAATGGAAATGGTACTTTAGCTAAAATTAAAGCAATTAATCAGCAATTAAATCATATGTACATAATTATGTTAAATTAAGTATACATAATTTTATAATAGTTACAAATTTAGTTAAAAGCTCAAAATCTATTTGAAAAAAATCATACTAAATAGAATATTTACAGTAAATATAAGTATTCAACAATATTTACATGCTACATACTTGTCACAAATCCAGAGAACATCCAATTGATCCAACCACCGATTAGTACCATAGGTAAGACATTAGTCACATTTCCCTTCAGCATTTCAGTCATAATATTTGGATCGGTCATAGGATTTTGGGAAACAGGAGTACGCTTCTGAGTCTTAAAATAACCAGTCTCTTCATTGTTAAAGAAATGTCTTCTAGTCATAAAACCCACTTTAGGTATGTACTGTCCGTTCTCCCGGAGCAGCCTGGAGCGTATCATGACTTGACTGCAAAATATTTAATGTTATAAATAATTGTGAGCTTCACGTATGAAACCTCCAAGTTAATTGATGTATGTTTAAATGTTTACCTATCTTGCACTTGATGAAGCTCGACCTTCTTTTGCGAGGCAAGCAATATCGAAACATAGTGGCGGACTATACCGACTAGAAACGTGATCACTACTATAGGCAAGAATACCCAACCTCGGATATTTGCATCCAGCAACAATTCTGCCATGTCAGCTGTTTCTGCTGCGTTAATGTGCGTAAATAAACTCTATTCGCGAGAACGATAACGAAAAACGGAGCAACGTAGAACTATTCACCGTTCTATTTCTTGTGTGGCTTTTTCCCTCGGGTGGGAGAGTAAAGCTAGAAACATAACAAAAAGCACAGGCAGTAGGACAAGGAATAAGAGATTTTAACCTGTCAGAAATCATGTATACTAGAATGGACACTTTCTGATAGGTTGAAGGCTCTTATTACCTGTGCTTTTTATTGTGTTGCTAGCTTAATTGATATGTCTGTTTTTTACCTACGTTCCTTTCAATATTTTGACAAATCGTTTCTAGGTTCCTGTATAGTTTTCTGCTATAATTGAAAGGTCAACAGGAGGGAGATTGTGGAGACCTCTAGTCGAAGACGAATTTCTTTATGCTGAAATTACGGCTGGATAAATTGCGATAATCAGAAAAGACTCGTACCGAGAGCGACTTTTTTCGGAAAAAAAGGCGAAATAAAAATTTGTTTTGATATATCATGTGCAATTCGGCTTTGTGTCTACGTGCATTCGTAGCTTCACAAAAAAAGAAACTAAAAAGTTTTTATAACGTAATGTTATTTCTATGAGATAATTATACATATATAAATACGATTCATTTATAACTGAATTGATACTAAACTGATGTTAATTAATATTTAATTAATAATACAGTGACAACATTAATGAACATACGCAGTTGCAAAATATCATTAAATTATCATTTTCCAACTTACCGATATTAAAAAACTTTGATATTAAATAATAAAGAAATAAGAGGTAGGCAATTTTCCTTCTCAGAATATATTCTATGCATGAAAATACACAAATTTTATAAAATTATAGGAAAATCGAAGTAAGCGGCGTTATAATACGTATTTATCAAAATCATGAATTTAACAATATGTTATCTAAATAGTTTTATATATATTATTGTTCGTAATATCATTGGCTGCGTTCAGAAAAAACAACTTTGCACTATGGTAAAATTCTTTAATATAATTGGTCTTTCCCTTAGTTCCTCACTGCATCTAAATGTATAAACCAATCATATTCGAGAATTTCACACAACAGTTGCAAAGATGCTTTTTTTGGCCAGCCGTCGTTCTTCAATTATTCTCGGATCCTCGGGGAAAGTTAACACGAAAATTTCTCCATCTTTAATAATATTTTATCGGTGATTATAGGCCGAAAATGCTGAGAGGTGCTGAGACCATATGAGGTCTGTTCTTTATTCCTCTACCATGTGCACCAGTTTAGACAGTAGAGGAATAAAAAAAACATGCTGCAAGTACAGTACATCATACATACTTCGAATGCTTGCATTATGGCTGAACTGAGAGTGCTGAGATCAGCCGAAACCTACGAACGGTTTCACGTTTCACCTGGCATTGATAAGAGGGTGCCATAATATATATATATATGTGCTGATCTCACGCCACGAGCCGCGGCGCCCGGCCGGAGAAGAAATCCCTACCCTATCGGACAGGGCCTAATTCCCCCCCCCCTTCCTCCGCGAGTGTCGACTCCGTTTCCCCTGGTTTCCCCGCGCATCACCGTTCACGAGCGGCGCGCGCTGACTTGCGCACGATGTCAGTTCAGTCTTTCTGGCGCACCGTTACGAGGTGAAGAGGTGAATCCGTCACTGCCACCGTCGTCGCACTCGCCGCCGCCGCCGCCTCCGCCGCCGCCGCCGCCGTTATCGTCGTCGTCGTCGCGCGAGAGCGAGCGCTCTCATCGTCCGGTCGTCAATTAGCGTTCCAAGAAAGCTAAGTGAAGCTTACTGAAGCGCCCGCGCCGTCGACTGATAATACGCTGTATACGTGTGCGATACACGCGTACCCACGGTGAGAGAATCCCGCCGATCAGCGACACGCGTTCTTCCGAGCGTGGGATCGCGATGATCGAGTAAACGGGCAGAGCGGTACACGCGCCACGGATATTCTTGCCGACGATACTCCACGGCGATGTATACACGGACCATGGAAGACCTGTGAGAGCGGCATCGCGGATACCGGGGGGATACCCCGGATAAGGGGTGGTCGACGCGCCATACCAAGAGGGGCGAGGGCGACGCGGACGCAGGAAGCGCGTGTTAGAGGTGGAGTAACGGTGGAAGGGGGGGGCCTGGCTGCTATTACTACCGGGAAGAGCGAAAGGTGAGCGTTGGCGACGACTCGTCGACGTGCAACATCCGCACGGCTGTCCGTCCGTCCACGGCGTCCACCCGACCGGCTGTCGCGACCGCCATGTTATTCTGGAGCGGCGGTCTTACGTCGTTGGCGTCGCTGCTTTTGTGCCTCCTCGTGCTCGGCACAGCCGGCGTCGACGAGTCCGGTGAGTTTATATCTGCGTACGCCTCTCTGGGAGCAAAGGAAAAGGATGGGGGAGGGGCCGGTGGGAGAGGGGAGAAAAATGCAACGAGGCGCGCCGAGACGCGCCTCTACAAGCATCCGCAGAGAGAAATTCGTTTTAAGACATACTCGGATTCCCATCCGAGTTCTTTCTGGGTGTCGTGTCATCCTTGTTTACTGTTTGGTAAATAACATGGGTCGAGGGATACCTACTGGGTAGCGTTCGGATGGGAATTTGAACGTAGCCTTCAAAGCTCTAGCTGTTTAGATCGAGAGTGAAAATTCGCGCGAGAGAGAAGCTAAGAAAACGTTCAAGACGAGAGACTCGCCCCTTTCTTTATTAAAAAGAACGCAGCGACAAGCAAAAATCGGGTAACGGTTGCCCATCCAGTCTCCTTGGATTGATTTCTTTTTTTTTTTTATAAGAGAAGGTGGAATGAGAAATGATTGCAATCGAAGTTTAATTTCGATGATGGATGTGTCTTTCGCAGAGAGATCTTTGTTTTTGGAGTATTTTTGCAAAATGTACTGTACCAAAGAAACGCAATAATGTCAAATAATGTTAATCGATTAAACTGATTCCTGGGCCGTGTTATCTACTGCGCGAGCTATCGAGTTGCGAGCACTCGAGATTATCGGATGTTCTCAATAATGGCTCGATAATCAATTAAGTTATGAGTGGATTAAATTGACAATTTTTGGATTTACATAAGAAAAGTGTTTTTATTTTTCTCTTCTTGTACATTATTCGAAACATTCAAGAGCCGGGAAAGAGCACGTGGAAAATCGCACGCCGTGCGATCGATCGAATGTTGACGCACGTCTGGCAGTACTTAATACGAGATTCAGAGGTTTTATGAACCCGACATTTCCGTAAAATGCGGCATTTGAGCATTTTCCTGAGACACCTTTTTCTATCTTTGAATTATTGAAGTTAAACAACATATAAAAAAATAACATTTTATATATAATTTTTTTTATTTTTGTCTTTTTATATGTTGTTTTTTAATTTGAAATTTAAAAGAGGAGGATTATATAAAATGTTGAGGAAGATTAATATTTTGAGATTAGGCAATATAGCTCAAAATTCTTTATAAAATAAATGATTGAATAAAAGGGCTACTGAGAGTCAAATTGCGGTAAGTAGTGCATACAATATATTTTATTATATCTAGTAATTTTAAAACAATTAAAAAATCCCATACGTTTCGGCTAACATTCGAGCCATCTTCAGTGTTGTACACAACGAATATAATGATTTCGTTATATTCGTTGTGTACAATACTGAAGATGGCTCGAATGTTAGCCGAAACGTATGCGATGTTTTAATTGTTTTAAAATTACTAGATATAATAAAATATATTGTATGCACTACTTATCTCAATTTGACTCTCAGTAGCCCTTTTATTCAATTATTTATTGACATTCTTGAGAGTTGTATTAGAGATTTATTCTTTATAAAAAATATAAAGATCTGAAGGATTCGCATTAATTTTACAGCGAATTGAATTACTTGCACTGCATTAGATTAGTGCATACTAAAAGTTGTTATACGTGAAATTAGCAAAGTTAAATGTAAAAACAATATAAATGTTTTAAACAGTTGAATGCACCTAATAATAGTATTGTCAGATTATTTAACAAAATATATTATTTTATTGTTAAATTTGATTAAAGTATGCCACTGCATTTAGATATACACGGTCTGTTCTAAAAGTTTCCAAACTTTGATTATAACTCATTCTAAAATAATAATTATAAATTTTTATCTATAATTATTCAAAGTACATCTCTTCCGAAAAAAATACATTATTTGTAACGGTTTTATAGGTCTAGAAAACTCTGCTAAAAGTTTTTCTTTGAAATAGCCTTGATCAAAACTTTTTAATGTCCTAAATAATGTCGAATTACTCTTCTTTTAGCTTCATTTTTAATTTCGGGAACAAAAAATAGTTATTATTAAATATCTCATAGGATCGTATATGTGAGAACATAATCAAAGAAAATCAATGCCTTTCCTTTAAGGGGATCCTAAAGTGAATCTGTTTTACCAATTTTTTCAAATAAGTATTTTTCTAACTGCCTTTATAGATTTAAAAATCCTCCATAATTATAAAGTATAAACGATAATGTAGTCGACCAAATCGGTCGACTTTATGCCAAAAATGAAAAAAAGTTGGAAAATTTGTTACTGACTTTTAACGTCGACTCGTAACAATATTATACATATATACGAGTTCTTACGTGTAAAATAATCTTGGTTTGGACATTGCATGAACAAATAATGTTGAGTACTATTAGGTTTAGATATTTAATATAGAAGATTAGTTAATTAGAAAATTTGTACGCATGTGTGCGATATTGATGTAATAGTATATATAAACATATGTCGATGTGTCGTATTTTATCGGTAAAAAAAGAAAGCAGAGTTTGGACTTCACTTTAGGATCTTCTTAATGCTGGTTTTTAGGTGCTTGTATACATTTGAATAAATTTATATATTTCGTATGTAATTTTTTGAATTGCGCGTCGAAATGATTTTGCGGTTTTGAAATACAAACTCTACTAAACTATCGCAGTAATTATCATTAGTTAAATTGATTAGCAATTTGATAATTCGATGCTCTTAGTGCATCTAGAACGATAATGTTGAATGACACATTAAAATCTGTAAATAATTAATTCTTATTGTCAAAAGTATTACCTCTGGAAATCAAATCTGGATGTCTATCATTCCGTGTGAGCGTCCTCATAGCTTAGACTACCGAGACCGTAATAATATTCTTCGCAGTAATTGATATATGTAGGAACAACGTCTATTTCAGACAACATTAGCGCCGAGACACTGCTATGTCTCTAGATATTAAATATCTCGTAGGACCGTACATATGAGAACACATCCAAAGAAAATCAATGCTTTTAACGATCTAGCTGGATTTTAGGTGTTTGTATAAATCTATAGTAACACAGATTTATATAAGCATCTAAAATGTAGCTAGATTGTTAAAGATATTAAAAGAATAGTCATATAATACCAAATCTCGTGAATATGGAAAATTATCAAAGACTAGGATTGATTTGGAAATAAGCACGTGTGAACACGTGTATAATTGTGATGTAGAAGCGACCAGGTGCCTCGTGTTTGATACTGAACTCAACTAGTTCTTGCTAGCAAGCGTTTTATATTATTCCATAATAATTTTATATTATTCAATAATAATTTTCATTAATAATCTTATTTTGTAATTTGATGTTCGCTTCTTGCTGCATTGTGATTTCTCAATGAATGTCACAAAAGCTGGGCATGTATTTGAAGTACTTTTATTTAATAGTTTTTGGAATAAAAGTGTATTTTATATTTTTAGCAGTGTATATGAAAGTATTACGTATTTTGTGTGTAAAATCGAAAGATTGAAGTTGTAGTAAAGTTGTAAACTAATTCAGTAGATATAGTTCTCGAGTAACCGAATTCTTTTTTAGACAGATTCTATAAGAAAGATATAGGAAAGATAAAATGGAGCTGTCTGTGTGTGTGTATGTGGTCAGGTACCCGTCGCGAATTCCCTTGTTTCTTGATACAAGAAAAGCGTGACTGATGCTGTTGTTCCACCCAGTAGAGATAACTCGCCTGTGACTAAATGGATGGACTTGTCTCACTTCGGCGAAGAACCTAATTCCGATGCTGATTCCAGCTAAACGTAAACGCCCATCTACTCGGTGTCACGATCTCTTGATCATCGCGTGCAACGTTTGCGGACCATCCGCAACCTGTTTCCCATATGACATTGGCAATTAAGCCAACCAAAATTTATAATCATCCTGCACTCGGTAATGTACGTTCTTAGCGGCGTCAACCACATGCCAGGTGGATGTCGAGAAAGAAGACAGGAGTCTTCATTTAATGCGCTAACTCCGGGAGAATCCACTTTGTGGCTCGTGAATGAAAATAACTGCTCGCGCAGATATACTTGAATCATGAGTTGGACAACGGCATTGAAGTGGTTTAGGAAAATGTATGTATTTATATACATGTGTAGGCTGTTTAGTGATAAGCGTCAACCGCAATCGACCATTTTCCGTTTTGTGATGATGATTTTTCTCATAAAACGGATCTTAAGAAACATTGACTTATTTGTTTCTTAGTTATTTATACGCATTTATTATTTCAGAACGAGTTACACTATAGAGATTAGGGATGTAAAAGTGACGTCAAATTTAATCTGACAATTTGCGATAAAATATTAAATAGTAATTTATTGATAATTTTGATAAAATTTGTTTTTTTACAGTTTTATGCACAAATAAGTTTCATTTATGTTTTTTATATTAGTGCATAAGATAAAACATTTTTCTAATAATCTCATCGAAAATATACATTACTGATAGAATAATAATAAAACTATTCACTAAATTTAAACGTAAAATCTAATCGATGCTGAAATCCGTTTTTAATATATGATTTCCTAAAAATTAAAGGTTACTAAAAGTATAAATGAATATCATTGATGAATCTTTTGGTAACTTTTAATTTTTATGTAACCAGATAATGGCGGCATTCAGATCTGGTTTCACAAGCGTAAAATTAATTTTGATTTAATTTACAATCTAACTTTATCTAATTTTAGAATTAGAAAAATATAACATATTAACAACATGTAATATCGAGATGAAAATATGAGTTGAATAAAGCGTTTTTAACTTAATGGCTAAATGATTTTACATCGAATTATTTTATTTTTACAATTTTTAAAAATTACAACAACCTCCAAAAATTACTAACTGATTTACCGTAATTTATCGAGTAAATTAAGTTAAATTTGGTCATTTTTATCTCTAATAGAGACAGATATACGTATGGATAATGAAGATTTAATTTTTGTGATAATTTTAGATAAAAGTCTTGTTTGATAAAATCTCGATGCACACACACATACACACACACATTAATCGGGATAATTTAAAATTAGGTAAGACTGATAAGAACATGCACCATTCGATTAAATTTTAGGTAAGAAGAGTCATTCTACATTCATTGAATATGTATGTTATCGCACATGTGCATACGTTCGCATTATCATTTATCATCGATCGATGTGTGTATAGTAATATGTGTATGTATTATATATACATATACAGGAGGTACTTCAGGATTTAACGGACAAACTGCGGGAGCATATTCTACAAGTAAAAATAAGAAAAAAGTGTTACATGAAGTTTGGTTAGAAATGCTTTATTACAAAGTTATAAATAAAGATTGAAACAGGACATGAAATAGAAAACAACGGATTTTATATTGCGCAGAAAATGAAAGTGTACATTTTATTCGTACGGAAAGGTCAAACGTGTTTATCTCGTATTCACATCATATTTACTAACGACTCAGTATCATTTCGACCTGCGCATGGATATATGATTGTAACTTTGCAAGAAAACATTTGTAATCAAACTTCATATAACATTCTCTTCTTTTCTCTTGTAGAATATGCTCTCGCAATTTGTCCGTTAAGTTCTGAAATACCCTGTATTCACACACATATAATGATGTACTAAAATGATACGTATATATCAGCGGATACGTGAGAATTTGTAGATAGGCGTGTGTGTAATGCGTGCAAGAATCGTAGATGGTGCATGCGTGTGTGCGTGAAGCATGCGGGGGCGGTCGTTGGCATTGGACATGACACATTGTGAAAATAATTCAGCGAGATGCACGAGGACTGAATTCGCCACTTATGATGTTTTCCTCCGTTTTACAGCCTTTTACGAGAAATTCTAGATTAAGTCAAAAGATACATTAAAGGTCTGGTTGCATCAATTGGAATTTTATTGTACTTGAAAATCAGAATTTTTATTCATATGATTAATCAGAATCTTCTGGTTGGTTCATTCTCAATCAACATTTTTTTTCAATGTAGGTTAAGACGAATACAAACCAAAATAACAATAAAAATAATAATAAAGCTTACAATATACAACACAATATATAAACTTTATGTAAAAATGATAAAAAGAGTAAATGTGCAAATGTGTTAATAAATGTTGCATGAAAATTAGAAAATCGAAAATGTGCAGTGCAAACTAATTATTTATGGCTTATACATAATATAATAAGTGATTATGGAAAAATTCGGGACATAATGCGCAGTAAGGTTTAAATAAATTTTAAACATATTAACAATATTTTTTTTATTGCGAGATAGCACTTTTGTTTATTTACCAAAAATTAATATTGAACATTTCTTAAAAATGACTTACAATTAAATTGTAATATAGGTAGGTAGAAAGATATTATTTTACTTTTAATTAATAATTTTTTATGAATAACATATTTTTCGATACATTATCAAATTATAAATATATTTCTGTTACTAAAATATTAACGAAAATAAAAATTTCTGTATTATCTGTGATTAACAAAATTTGCAAACATATTTATAATATAAAGATAAAACATTTTTTTCATTAAGGTGAATTATTTTAATTAACTTATTGAAATATCGAGAAACATAAGATACAAAAAAATATTTCAGACAAAAATTGCTTTGTTTCTAAAAAAGAAAAGAAGATGGTGATCTTGGTTGACCTTAAGAAGATGTCCTTTAGATCACATTAAGGTTACCTACAATTTTTTAAATTAAAACTCGCACTTTTTATTTCATATTTATACAGCTGACTTCAAAATCTTTTCAAAACATTATAATAAAGTATTTTTTTCATTAAGTACTTTACAAGTTGTGGTGCTTAAAAATTAACAAGTCAACACTCTTGGAGCGTTTGATCACATTAATATTGACCACTCGACAATCAAATGTCATAACGTGTTAAACTAAACAATTTGTAATCATTTTCAGCTAAAATAATACGACAATTGCGCGCGTGCGTGCGATTTAAAACAATGGCTGCGTTCATCGGATTCAACAGTTGAATGAGCGCTTAGTGATTCTTCAATGTAATTAGTTTTTACCTTTAGTTCTTTGTTGGATATAAATCATGTTGCAAAATCATTAAGCGTTTACGTTTATTGATAAGTTTCCTCTGCTGAGCGCAGTTATTTCTTTTGGAAGAAGATTTTAGTCAATTTTGATCTTTCTCCTCAACATGCTTATCAACGCGACAGTTCAAAGAGAAATAAAAAATATTTACATCATTAATTTTCGAATGGTGTAAAAAAAATAGATAACGGAATTGCGGATGAGATAAGATACTACATCATGTGGATAGAGATTAAATTCAATGGAATAGAAATAACATGGATTCATCAATTAAAAAAACACGTGGTCACGTGGTTCATTTTCATCTTTTTATTTATAAAAAATGAACGGTCGACGAACTATAAAGATTTCATTGATCGTATAAGAATAGCGTATCGGAATTAAAGAGTAGACCAGTTTATAATCGAATTCCGTATTGTCCAAAGTTTTTGAATTATGCTTTGAATTGGTAAAACGTTTGTCATGGAATGTAGGAAAGTCTAAATTCACAAATTCTAGGATGATATCTCTTTCACACAATAATTTATTTTAAGATGTTCATAATATCTACATCAAATTGTCTTTTAAATCGTAGTTTGCTTGAACTGGAAGTTGTAAGATTTAGATTACGCACAAATGTTATTAAGCACAAAGATCTACTATGACTCTTTTTGGTCTTCTTCGCTCAATTACGTTTAAGATAATCTCAAGTTTTATTTCAAATTCATTGTTTGCATCTAATATGAATTTGCGTGAATTGATACGAAAATGTATTTCTTTGCGATAGGTATAGATAAGTTGGAAGTAGCAGCAGTAGAGTCCAAACCCGAGCGGACCGCGTCATTGGAGATTCAATCATCACAGGATATCGAGGGTATAGAGGCGGGCAGCACACCGACGTTATTGTGCAAGCTTAACGTATCGGGTCAAGTCTGGTGGAGCACTGATGGCAGGAATCTCAGCACTATCAACGATTTTAACTACATCGGACGATTTGATATAAAGAAGGCTAGCAGGAACGACACGGGCGACTATAAATGCTCTGCGCAGACTGCTGACGGCGAATTCCTCGAGAAAAATATTCATATTAGAGTGATAGGTACATAACGAGCTAATTTAAATGCCTTATCTTTGTTACGCGGATGCGAGCGTGCATTTACGATACATGTACTTTGGATTTTATAATACTCAGCATTAATATTACATAACAAAAGATTCAAAAGTAAATTTCGAAGTTAAACTCTTGTTAAAAATTGTTTCTTGTTTTCCAGAACCCGGCAAGGTAACATCCGGTGGGAATGTAAGGGCGAGAATGTCGGAAGCAGCCAACTTGACATGCCACGTACACGGTTATCCGTTATCTCAATTTACTTGGTTAAAAGAGAATAATTCGGAGAGCAGCGAACATCTGAAGAATCTCACCGTCGTTACGCAGATAAACGAGACTTACGCCGTCTTAGTCCTAGAATTCAAGAGCCTAGCACGAAAGGACAATGGCACGTATGTATGTCAGGCAAATGACTACAACGGGATAGTAAGCGCCTTGACGCATTTATTCGTCACCGATGTGCCAAAAGTCAGCATAGATTTCATGAAGGCGGTCGGGGCTGGTAGCATATTCCTAAATTGGACTGTCAATGATGGTAACGAGCCGATTAAGAAGTACTTCATCCAGCATATGAAGAAGGGCACAGATCAACGTCAATACTACGCCGAACAGATTGGTGGTGGTAATTCAAGCTACGTTCTCAAGGGATTTGAGAGCGGCACCGCGTACCAAATCGGTATTAGCGCTATCAATGCACTGGGCACGTCACACATGCAATTAGATCCACGATGGATTACCACTCTTGAGAAAGGTATTTTTCGGAAAAAAAAAACATAAATTTCTTCTACTGTTTCATTTTTCTCAAGTTCAATTTAACTTAAAAATGGATTAACTTGAGAGCTAAGAAGTATTATAAATTCTTAGGAAGAAATATAAAAGAATATAAAAAGATTCTAATTTAATAATTTATAATTCGTAAAATTAAAAGAACGATAATTATAGAGTAACTAGTAACATTATTTAATAAATGTAGATATTTGAAATAATTATCTTTATAATATATTCGGTGTTCGATCTCCACAGCAAAAAATCAGCTGTGATATGTAACTGGCATATACGTACTTAAACTTCTCTTTGATATTTTATCTAACATAGGATAAAAAAAATTAATTACAGATCCAGTATTTGTACCGAAAGTGTCTGTGAATGGCGTGACGGAGAATTCAATCACAATAGGTTGGACCGTGCCGCCACCGGATTTGAAGGAGCATGTACACTATTACAATCTAATGGCTACTCACGCTGATCAGAAGAGAGAAGCAGTGTATCCCGCTCAGCCATTCATTGTGTATGCGTTTGTGGATCTCGATCCAGCGACCATGTACAAATTCAAAATAGCTGCTTGCAGCGAATACACGAAACAATGCGGTAATTGGAGTGCCGAAGTAAACGGCACCACTTTAGATGGAGGTATGTCGGCGCATATATTCCACCAGGAAAAATATATATATTTATTTCATTCGTTTAGGAAATATTCAAATATATTTCATTGTTTTTGTAGTGGCCAGTCCTCCGAAAAATCTCATCGTTATTTGTCGCTATAACAATATAAGCAGCTTTAGTTTCATGTCCATCACATGGAAACCCCCGGAGAAGCCAAATGGCATTATACAGCGGTACAATATACAATTGAACGGCGTAGCAAAATTCAAGAATGACATGGGACGTTTGGACATTCATAGTTTTGAACCGCCCAGCTGGAGTGTCTATAATAGGAACAGCACGCATTACAATAAGTTACCTCCTAATACCAATTATACGGTATGTAATCTATTCAATTTTAAATTATGCTTCCATCTATTATTTTTATTAGAATATTTTCTCGGTTATTTCTAATATAATTAGAATAATTTCTAACATAGTGTGGCGATCGTGGCGTAAAGAGTTGTATGTCAAAGATTCAAATATGGCAAAAAATATTTTATTTTCTTGAAAAGTAATGGCAAACTGAGAGTATCTTTGCTATAAAAACAATGAAATCGTTGAAATGAGAAACAAAAATCGTTGAAATATTGTTAAAAATATTGTATTTCACAGCATAAATAATGTTTTTAATATTAAAAAACAATGAATTTTAATGATAATTAATGAAGAATAATGAAAAATAATGAAAACTAATGTAAATATATTTAATATTCATACTAATTTATTCAGAGATATTGAACGCTAAATTAAACTGAAATACTATGAATTCTAAAAATAATTATTGAAAATGCATGAAAAAAATGAAAAGTAACGCAAACATACAATAATTTTACAATTGTATACTGAAATATGCTGAAATACTATGATTTAAGGAAAATACTATATTCTAAGAAAAATTAACAAAAATACCTAAAAAATAATGAAATAAAAACGAAATATATACACATCCTGTATATATATATATATATATAATATATTCATTTATTTTTATTCATTAATAAAAGTTATCGAAAACAGAAACAGGATAATTAAAATATTGGAATTAATAATTGAAAAAATGTAATAAAATCAATTAACATTGAAATGAAGAGCGTTGTGAATTAAAAAGAATTTTTAATAAAGAAAATTTATACAGATTTATATTTAATAAAATTGAGCATTAAATTACACTGAATTACACGAATCGTAAATTGAAAGTGCATGAAAAAAATGAAAAATGATGTAAGACATAAATCTCGCATGTAAAATTTAGTCGTGCTCTCTGTATAACCAGATCTATATAAGCTCAGATAAACTTAGATTATTTGCAAGCAAATTTACATTTGTGTATGGTTTTCACGTGTATTCTAGTACATACATTGTATATTTTTTTTATTGATTCTAACTTGAAATTATTATACAAGTCTAATAATATTGAATGAATTTTCGTACTAAGAATGAACATTTGGTCGAAGGTTCGGGTGCACGGAGTGACAAGATCTCGCACTCCTGGCAAGGACGCCATAGGAAACTGTACAACGCCAATTACAGTTCCGGGTCGCGATAATATGAACATGCGCAGCTGGCGGAAGATTGAAAGCCAGGGTAGGCAGTTGTTCAAACTATATCTACCACGCATCTCGGAGCGGAACGGTCCAATCTGCTGCTACCGCGTCTACCTGGTGAAACTATCACCGCATAAAACAGTTGGTGATCTACCATCACCTGAAGAGATTGCGGTATATTCTTATCAGTATGTGCATAATTCACCTACCGGTGGTGCGTATATGGCCGAAATATTCGACAGCGATCAGTTACTAACCGAGATCTTTCTTGGTGACGGTGAGTCGTCTAATGGTGGTGCTATGTGCGATAAGTGCTTCGGTTTACGACCCAAACCAGCACCACCGTTGTTACACTTTGTTCCGGAAATCCCATCAACTGTAACTTCAAGTAACGTAAGCAGTATCGTTACTAGCACGACTGTAATTACATCGACGCCGACGACAACTATAAGCAGCAGTGGTACTAGTACGACTACCAACCCATCTACCACATTATCGACGACTACTATTACGAAAAATGATTCAACTACGGCCGTACCTGTGATTATTAACGCCACAGAAAAAGCGGAAAGACGAAAGAGAGAAGACGCGCCGCTGCAAAAGGCATCTGTAGATGAATCTGGAGAATTCAGTGTTTTATCGCCTTATGATGGTTTTCTTGATGAAACATCAAATTATACTGGTTTTATCGAAGTTATAGGTATGTACAGGTATCGATAGGTTTGTGGAATACTTCAAATTTGATAATGCATTGTGTGATGGTTCATTGTTTGCAGTGTACGATAATGAAAAGGATCAGTTTTTACCGGCTTACAGTAGTTATTTTAATCCTCTTTACGGCGGAGTGGATCCTCTCAGCGTGATGGCCGCAGAAGCGACTACTATCAGAGAATTGATAATACAGCTCTTCATCGCCCTGATTTTAACTCTCACAGTTTTGTTTATCGCACTCTGCGTGTTATATAGATGTACGAAACGTGCGCAAGAAAGGGAGGAAGTTATAACACTACGTAGTAGTTTCAGGTGAGTTAAAAAAGAACACGGTATTCTCCCTTAAAAAGATTTTTATACAAATTCTATAAAGTTTTATTACATAAATTATATTTTAATAATATAACAGATTTTATATTTTTAAAAGACTTATTTTTTTGTTTAATAAAAATTGTTTTGTTGTACACAGAAATATAATAGAATATACATAAAAACATTAAGGCCGATTCATAGGTTCTTATTTCAAGATCGTCTTAAGTAATGTCTTAAGACGCTAATGCGGCCCTAATTGGTTCGTAACACCTCAAAACAGAACTTAAAACGGCCTTAAATATAAGAACTAACTATGAATTGAATACTTTAATATAATACTTTTTGTTATATTATTCTTATTACTAATATTAATTATTAATATTAATATAAAGAAGCCAGTAAGTACTTTAGCTACTTAATGGATGGATTTTTGCATAGACATCTCTGTAGGAGTCTGAGAGGCAGGCATCAACTCGTGGCAGCGAGTCCACCGGATATGCCACCTGTACCTAAGACCGAGTTATTGCAGGCGTACTTGGAACGCCATCGGGACTCGGATTATGGTTTTCAGCACGAGTTTGAACTGCTACCTGATCGATTCACGGACCGAACGACACGCGCATCCGAAGCACAGGAAAACCTCTATAAAAATCGTTACCCGGACATCAAGTGTTACGATCAGACGAGAGTACGTTTGGCGCAAATGGACGGTATCTGCGGCTCTGATTACATCAATGCCAATTTCGTTCTCGGTTACAAGGAACGCAAGAAGTTCATTTGTGCCCAAGGCCCGATGGAGAATACTGTGTGCGATTACTGGCGTATGATTTGGGAGCAGCATCTTGAGTTAATTCTCATGCTGACAAATCTCGAAGAATATTCAAAGACCAAGTGCGCTAAGTATTGGCCGGACAAGCGCGAAACCAAAAACTTTGGTGACATTACAGTGGAACACGTTAAAGAGCGTGCCTACTCGGACTACGTGGTGCGCGAATTGAAGATGACACGACTAGGCGAGCGTGACGCCCGCGCGATCGTGCAGTACCACTTCCTTGTGTGGAAAGACTTCGTCGCCCCCGAGCATCCACATGCGATTCTACGCTTTATCAAGCGCGTCAATGAAGCATATTCGCTCGAAAAGGGGCCGATCTTGGTGCACTGCAGCGCTGGTGTGGGCCGCACTGGTACGCTCGTGGCATTGGATTCTTTGTTGCAACAATTGGCCGAGGAGGGGCAGGTGTCTATCTTCAATACCGTGTGTGACTTACGGCATCAGCGCAACTTTCTTGTGCAATCACTTAAGCAATACATCTTCATCTATCGCGCGCTTATGGAGATGGCACAGTACGGCGACACGGAGATTCCAGCACCCCAACTCAAAACCACTATTGCTAAACTAAGACAACGGGACAACGGGAAGGAGAAATGTAGGATGGAAGAAGAATATGATGTAAGTTACTGAATTGAATGCTTTTTCTTTTGTCAATTAATGTTATCACCATTTAAGGTCTGCAAATTAAAATATCATACACACAAATGTCAAATTTTTTCTATAAATTTTCTTTATCTCAAAATTATTTATTATACCAGTTTGTCTCATTTTTATTTTTAAATCTCCTTTGAATTTTTTTTTTTAATTGGCATGTTCTATTTGTGTGATGGATAAGAAAGAATTATTTGAGAAAAAATACCTGTCATATTTACATAATGATACATAATTTTCGTTTGTATAGAAAATCAGTTCCGTATTAGAAGATCGGAAATCTTTCTCTGTCGGCGGTGGAGATGAAAATAAATCAAAGAATAGAAGCGAACTGGTGATACCATATGATAGAAATCGCGTGATACTCACGCCAGTTCCGGGAAAGGAACATTCAACATATATAAACGCATCGTTCATCGAAGGCTACGATAACTCCGAATCGTTTGTCATTACGCAAGATCCTCTGGAGATCACTATAGCGGATTTCTGGCGAATGATCTCGGAACAATGTATCTCTACAATAGTTATGTTATCTGACGTAAGTGTACACATATATATTTTTTTAATTTTTCTCTTTGTTGCTTTTAATGAAGAAAGTGGTTTTATTGAATTTGTACAAAAAGTGTATAATTGTATGAATATTGCGTTAACATAGTATACATTTGGTATGCAATTTCATACAACAAACTTTTAAGGAACTAATTGGTGATATTTTTTTTTACTGAACAGTTTTTTATCAACATTGTTTTATTACATTGTACATATAAATAGTATATTCTTATAGATATAACTTAATACAATAATATCTTAAATAATCAATGTCAATTTCCCGTATATAGTCAATATATCTGAGATCCATAACGAAAGAAAATACATAAAATTTTGTACAATCGGGTGAAAGAAGTATCAGGGTCCCCGATCTTAATAATAAGAAATAAGCATGGATATTTTTGAAAGAAGAATAGATTAGACACCAGAATGAATATTATAATTGCGTATAAAATAAATAACATTTTTTTCAGTTGAATGAAGGCCCTCGAAAATGTCCACGCTACTGGCCTGACGACGAAACCGATTACGATCATATAAGGGTCCGTTACATTCATAGTGAGAGTTGTCCATATTACACGCGTCGCGAGTTTTGCATTTTGAACACGAAAACTGACGAGAGTGGAGTCATAAAGCAGTATCAATATCATGGCTGGCCGACGGTGGAGGGTGAAGTACCTGAGGTGACGCGCGGTCTTATTGAGTTGGTAGATCAGACGTTGACGAACGAAACTGAGACGAGCGGCTCGTTGGTCGTGCACTGCAGCTACGGATCAGATCGGAGTTCTATGTTCGTGGCACTTAGCATACTGGTTCAGCAGCTGCGCACTGAGAAGCGTGTAGATATTTTCACAACGACGAAAAAATTGCGTTCTCAGCGACATGGCATGATCAGCACCTTTGTAAGTATTTTTATTATTTTCTTCATATTGATCGTGTTATTGTAAAGAATTTAGTATTTTCTACGAATTTTTTGTAATATAAAAAAATTTTCTATTCAACATTTTTCAATTATTTATGATGTAAAAGTAAATTACAATTAAATATTATTTATTGTATTATATATTGTAATTATATTTTGTTTATAATATTTATCATTGTACGTGTTGTTAGGCGCAATATGAGTTTCTTCATCGTGCCATCGTGAATTACTCGGATCTTCACAATTTAGCCGATGATGAAACGGCATCATAATGCTCAAAAATTAGTAAGAGCGAGACTGAATTGTTCTAAATATTGTTTGGGCGGACATGTACACAAGAAAGTTCCGTGACGAGTGTCCGGTGATCCACGAACGTTCAAATAAGCGTACATTGCCCTAACCAAAGATGAATAAGCGGCGATAAAGAATCATTGATGCCATCGTCGTCACTATTATCATCGTCGTGTAAATGAAAAATGGATCACGATGCACAACGCGGATCTAAAGGCTACTTGTACATAATATGTTCGCAAATGTTACATGTGCTGACTATAAGTTAAGTGTGAAAGAAGAGCGTTGACTGGAGATTAACTAAAAATCAACTCATCGTGGTATTATACGTGAATTTCTGACGTCATTGGTGAAAACTTCAAAGTGCAGTGCGTGACTTTGTCACGAAATCGTTACAGAAGCTTATTTTTATTGGTAACCTAACGATTTAGCCAGAGCGTAACGTAGCCACACAGTGTGACAAAGTTTTAATATCGAAATTCGACACAGACACGCATGCTCTTGTCAGTATCCTGCATATGGCTGTACAGCGAAGGACTGAGACACAGGAAGGAATGGATATGCTTGTATAGGTATGACAATTCATTCTTCTGCCAAGTATATGAAATATGATCTGTAACTTTGAACAGCTTTGCTCTTGCAAATCACAATTGAAACTAAATAACGAAGGAACTCGACATGATTATTCACACATTTGTGAACCGATCGCGAAAACTTCTCCGAAATCCCTATCAAGGCGTATTATCCTGGCATTTGCTGCAGGATGTTTCGTTTTGAATAAAATGAAAATAAGATAAAATTTAATTAGCTTCATTTGCAGAAAGACTTTCAGAAGTAAGCGTCTTCTGCAATAATGCGCGACGCTGCTATTTATGATCCGTCACAATAATAATATCCCAATTGTGTGCGCGTTGCGTATATTTATATGTTCTTCAACAATGTAGAGTTAAATTATTATGATGTATTACGCATATCACGCGTTGCGCTGATTCCTCTTCTAAAAAGAAAAAAGAGACTGATAGTCTTATTCAGTTCGAGATTGCGATTAAACCACCTCTTGTTTGCGCAATATTTAGATTTCGCTGTGAATTGTAATATTGCGGCAATAGAAATATGGTTCTTCTCTTTTCTATTTTTATTTTCCATATTTGGAAGAAAGTTTGTAATACATACGCGATATAAACATAGACATATATGTGATGTGTTTTTTCCACGCGTGATGACACGAAAATTTTGTTCGTGGTTTAAATCGAATGGGCTGGGCAAAATATTTGATTATAATCTGGAGATCGTAATCGGTAGTGTCTAGACGCTAAGAGAAGCGTTGCGACACCATATATCAAATACAAATGCGAGCAATATCGTATTCTAAACTCAAAATATCACTGAAAAACATCGAAAGAAATATTTCGGAAATAAGGTACAGAGATGTGATTCAACAATAGAATATGATTAAGAATACAAAATGCAGAGCGTGACTCTCGATATGTAGTCATTAATTAGCATTCGAAATACCGCCCAGCCTTGCGAGAAAAAATGACAGAAAAATTGACAAGATTAGTATAAAGGAAGAATGAAAAAAATGATAGAGAAAGAAAGGGGGGAAGGATTATACGTTTATTCCTCCGTTTGTTAGTTCTAGTCAAGTTTCAATACGTGCGTTATCAAGTCATAATGCCAATCTTTTGCAGGAGGCAGAAGGCAATCAACTTGTAGCGTTTTCATTGGTAAAACTAGTGCAACAGTAATGCATTTGAGTGTAAATCTATTAAAATATTTTCAGTGTTAATAAATAATTTATAATTATGAACCTTTTGTGACAATAACAAAGAAACACAAAGGACATGTAATTAAAAGGGTTAAATTACTTGTTAACACTGAAAATATATTAACTGATTTGCATTTAATTGCACTCAATGTGTACTAGTGTTGCATCAGTTCTTTCAGTGAAAAACGCTATTAATTCTTAAGTATTGAAGTAAAAAATAGTAACACTTTTACTGAGGTTGGTCTCTGGGACCATCGATTTAAAAATACTGAAATTAAAATACAGCAATTTTATAAATTTGTTTTATTAATCAAACCGTTATAGATTAGCTTTTATGAAAGCATCGAAAATGAGACAGCCAGCGTTTTGTTTTTTTTAGTGTAGTCTACGGACCAACCTCAGTATTTGAAAGTTAATTACAATTTGTATCGCGTCCGGATTGTTTATATTTTCCACGTAACTTTATTTCATTTTAAGATCCTCCAATGAGAAACACGAAGTAATTTTTCTCTGATTTTTAAAATCACTATTAAAATTGTAAATATTTTAATAATTACGACATTAGGAAATTTTCTACCAAATTTCACAAGTGAATGAAATTGGCAGTTAACGTCAAAATTAAAGTGTTGAAGAAGTTATTCTTGTATTTATATTTTTTAAATAATTTTTTTTCTTTTTTTAAAGAATCTGTTTCTTTAAGATTTTATCTTTTTTCTGGAATAATTTACATTTCTTACAAAATTGGTAGGAGGAGAGAATCTGTTAATAAATCTACAATAATATTAGATTTTTAAGAAATCTGACTCTGACATTATTGTGTATGATTCGCATTGGAGGACTCAATATTAAATACGCGATATATAGATAAGTTTCTGCCTTATTACGCGATAAATAGACACATTAGTTTTTATACTAGTTATCGCATGAATAATTCGCTTCGATTTTGTTGTAGTTGATAGAGACCCTCTAAAAAATAGGAGGAATACTCGCCGCTTGTATTTATAAATAAATAAATATATATATATATAGGATGTCTAAAAAAAATCGTGACTTAAATACTATAGCAAGAAAGTTTCGAAAAATTAAGTAAAAACATTATTTATAAATTTTTATTTTAGGTGATATTTTTTGGGATAAGAGGATTTAAAGGGTTTATATATAGTCAGTTACAGAGAGAGACTATGTTTAGATAAATATAAGAATCTTTTTACAACCGTACAATTGATAAACAATAATAAGAAGAAAGGAAGCAACGAAGCAAAGCCATTAACGGTCAAAGCTAGATCACAATGCTTATTATAATGTGTAAATTTATATACCGCGTATGTAGTTTACTCAATCGCGTGCCGAAAATTTTTTCAGACTTACAACGCAATCCTAAACGACTACCGCGATAATATCACTTTAATTAAATTGACAAGCAATCTAACAATTTTAAATGCTTATAGCATCTTACTGGATCTTTAATAATATGTTGAAAGACATATATTAAAATTTTAACGATGTAATATTAAAGCAATGATAAATCTATCTGTGAAAAATAAGATTGCGAAAAATATCACAAGTTGGCGTTTCGTCCTGGCTTCCACTACTAGACTCATCAGTAACTATGTTTAGATGATCACCTGTCTTATAATATCCTATAAATCGTGTGTACAGTAGTATTAATGAGCGTTAATGAGCATATTCTATTGTGCGCTTACTAGTTCTCACAGGTGACCATCTGAATGTATTTTGTAATTATTTATATTTGATTCCTTACATACCTCCCCTGGTGAAGATTTTGTTGAAATTATTCCATGTTTTGGAACATTTCGCCGAAATTGTTGACAATTTGCTAAAATTTCACTGAAATTCAGCTAATACTGAAATATTGCTGAAATTTCATTGAAATTTCTTTGAAATTTTTACTGAATTTTTTCTGAAATTTTGCTGAAAATAAATGAAATTAAGTTGATAATTTTTTGAAATGCTTAAATTTTACTAAAGAGTATTTCAAAACATGGATTAATTTTAGCAACATTTTTCCACCAGAGATCTACTCGAAATAAAAAATTATATAGAAATAACTTTTTATTTTAATTTTTCGACAACTTTTTTGTTATTGTATTTTAAGTTGCGAATTTTGGGACATCCTGCATATACATCGTTACACTATCGCTTATCGCTGTTACTATTTGTATCGATGAATGGTGTGACAATACTTGTTTTGTGCTCCTCCTGGATAATACCTGTTATATGTACGTTCTCCGCAGGGTCACGCGACGTTTCGTTCTATTCTTAATTATTATTATCACTCATAATTTTATTCTGTACCTTTTCGGTTAGATTTACGAATAACAGCGACACAAATGACTATACAAAAAGAAACGAGTCATATGAATACAAGAACTTCATACATTTCTTTTTTGTTACATATTGTTTTATTACATTCTCAATAAGAATAATTTTTAATAACGTCATATAATTATTATTATTAATGACACAGGGCAACATGAAAAAATTGTTTTAATTATTTTAGCTGTTTCTAATGTATTCTTGCTTGTCGAATACGTTATCCAAATTTGTTTATCATGTCACAATTTTGAAAAAAATAGCATTAAAGAGGCAAGAAACGATATTATATTTTTAAGACTGTAATCTTTTTATTATATTTCACTTTGTCATATGTTTATATTGCTTTTTGATTTAGCATGTTTTGATTACATTTTTGATACATTTTAAGTGTTAAATTCGAAAAACATAAAAATATTGTATCATATAGTTATTTTACACGTTTAACTTTCTTATGGTCTATAAAATATGAATATGGATTTAACACTGCGTGGTGAAAAACTTTATATACTCTCTCATGAAAATGAAATATTGTTGAATTCTGTACTGTGAAAATCAAAAAGCAAGGCACAAAAGAAAAAGGTGTAAATGTAATTTCTATGACAAAATAAGAAGGCATTATTAAGCCTTTTACATAAGATTTAAATATAAATAATTGAGTTGTATAATTTTTATAAATTGTTTGTAATCTATTTTAAATATATTTCAAATATATTCTAAGAGTTAATTTTTTGTTGTAAAAGAATTGTGAGTGATAGAACAAATTTGAGATTTTGGATTTGGATAATTAAATTTCTATAAAATTAATATATATTTTTAAAACAATTTTAAAAAATTTTGATTTTATTGTCTTGTGTGTGATTACTGCTACTTATACTTTTGAAGACCTTTATC